TCACTTCACTTATTGATGAAAAGCAAAAATGTGTTCAATAATCAAAAAATAAAATCATTGCTTTTGCCAGTGTTTCTTCAGGAAGGGTAAAACTATGTGGCCACTCACTTTTAAAATTTGATTTGATTTGTTAAAGAGCTAAAATTCAGAACAAACATGTATCAGTTGAGCTGTTTCCTTCCATCTTTTCCTGTTGAAACCAAACGTTGTTGTTTTTACAGACAGTTTTAGTAGCAGGGCATCCAGTGAGTCAGTGACCTTTAGCAGGCCCGTTTTGTTCACAGTGCTTACTTGACCTGTGGATGCCATTTCATATTAACCTCCTCACAATGTCAAATATCAATGTCAGAATCCACTGGAGGTTCTCAAAGGGAAGCTTGTGTGTCTTTTTTTTAATAAATAAAAATATGTAGAACATTTGTGTACTTCTTTKGTACAATGATTTTTTATTTTAAAATTAAGAAAAAACAACTGATAACAAAATGTCTTATAATTGCCTTTTTTATACATTTAACCTGACTATAGTATATGACTGTGTGAATAATATCAAAATTATCTTTTCCTCCCCATGTAGATTGCCTTCTCCCAACACAGCAGCATCATGGACCTAGTCCAGTTCTTTGTGACGTTTTTCAGGTAAGTGCATCAAATAGATGGCTCCTTTTTCTACTTAAAGTTTATTAAAAAGATAGGAAATGAGTGTTGTTTATTTAATTGGTTTCAATCTTTTTTGTATCTTCTTTGACTTTAGGGTTTTTTTCCTCTTGTTTGATTCATGGACAAGTGTTTAGTGGCTTAACAAATGAAAAAAAAAATTAAGTGTGCAAGTACAAGGATCAAGCTACTAAATGAGTAATTAATAATAAAAAAAAAGTCAGCCAACATAAAAGCAAGAAGAAAATGTAAAGAACTAATAACAAGAAAGTCTTGTTCTTTAGAAATGATCTGAACTGGACTGCTTATACAAGCTTTATATAACTGCATACGTTATCAAACTGCATCAAGAAGCATTATCAACCATGTCTTTGTTCTCCACTCCTGTCTCTAAGGACATATTGAGTTGCTTAGGTCTGTTTGCATGTTAAAAAAATAGTATGTAAATGCCTTTTGTCTCTTCAAGCCAGTAATTTTCCTTTTTCAAGTGGCAAATTAAATGCCTGTAGCAATTTAAGTAGGTGCATATTTCCCTACAAGTGCCATCTAAAGAGAAGGCGTGGGTGATGAAGATATGAGGGCTCTTAATGATTTTTCATCCTTAGTGCTGTGACGGAAATCCTTCATCATTGAAGTGTTTAAATGATTCTATTGGGCTGTTTGAAAAGTGCATTAAAGTCTGAGTGCCTTAAGGTGATGTGTTTGTAATTCCAAAAAGTAGATGCTTTTAATTTTCTGTTGACGTCTTGGAACAACCACAGCAGGAGCCTCCTGTTGACGTCCGGGTCATCACCTCTGATTGTCGGGTTTTCAGATTGTAAAACAACGGGGGAACACTAGTTTTTACATCTAACACAGTTTGTACATATTAGGGTTGGGCAATATTGGCAAAAAAATGAATCACGATTAATTGTGGTATTTAGCCGATAACGATTAATTTGACGATTAATCCCCTGGAGTCCCTGGGCACTCTTATTTTGTAGTCACATGACCAATTTAGTGGGAAAGATTTGATMTTTGTAAAAAAATGTTCCAAATTGTGTGAAAATTACAGATTTCAGGCTATAAATCATAGTTTAAATTGTGTTGATAGATAAATAAATTACATAACTTTATTTTTAATGTTTGTTATATTTGAAGCGCAGAAGAGCATTGAGCAGACTAAACGGAGTAATCCCCAGTCACTTTGCCTGGTGGCATTAATTGTATTAATCGTCAGGTGCCAAAAAGTAATCGATTAATGTTTTTCTGATGATTAATTGCAGACGATACGATTATGCCCAACCCTAGTACATATGTGTTCATTTTTCTTAAAGGTGTGCAGCTTAGAGTAGTTTATGTTCTGTGTGTARTCATGACAAGCGGCGTTATTGACAGGCTTTGCCTGAGGCACCTGCCCATCATCGGACACTCAACAATAGGTTTCCAGGAAAGCTGTCACACAATCGGTTACCGTCTGCCTCCCTCTGATCATATTACAGTTTGAATAGCCCAAATCTTAAAGCCTTTAAGGAACAAGTCCAAGCTTTTTTCTTTTTGCCTGCTAAATTGTATGCACTCCTCCCATTAGCATGCACCAAATTCTCTCTGTTTTACCCTGTTGGTAAGCAGGTTATGTTAATTCTGTTTACCCTTTGTTTGCATTTCTGTTGTTCAGTTCTCACTGACCCATAAACCCAGGGTAAAAAAAAAAAAGGAGAAAAGCTTTGCTATACTAATGAGCTGTTTTGTGTGGGTGTGCGGTGATTTGAGGAGGGTCGAACCTGCAGGAAACATAATCAGCCTGATGACAAAATGTCAAATCACCCCAGAGGGATTTTAGACCTCCTCGAATGAGAGGATAAAGCGAAGATCTGTCATTGTGGCTTTTCTAATGCTCTTTTTTCCCCCTCAGAGTTCATTTAAGCAAAGATTCGTTTTGTTCTCCTAAAAGGAAGCTGGGTCATGTCTGTTAGTCTTACTGCTTTTATTATTAAACTTTCTAAGATTACATTTGAAATACTATTTGAAAAGAGACTAGTTTCTTAAAAAAACTAAATTATTAGTAAATAATCTTGTTGAGTTGTTTTTGTTAAACAGCCTAAAAAGCCAAAGGCGGCACATATAGATATTGATTTTTTTCCCCCCTCGGGGTGTAATTGAAGCTCTGTGCTTACAGAAACCACCATGTAATTGAAGCAGCACAGCTGAGCTAGCTTTTGTTTCTGTCAGTTTTCTTACAAGTTAAACACTGCATGAAAAACAGTCGCTGTAACATGAAAGCCAACAGGCTAAACTGAGGTTCTCCAATCCATCAAGCAAATCCATCAAGCAGCTCTGTTGTCCTCCTTTTACATTTTCAGTTGTAGGCTGTCATTTCTACATTCTCCTCTCTATCAAGTCGCTCTGTTTTTATTGAAAAGGGCTGATCCTCAGATATTGCCTAAGGCTAACCTTCAGAGTGGATAAGAGCTCGCACTGGAAAACCTAGTGAACGTCATCATTTACCTAGTATGATTTGCAGCATTAGTACAATGGTGCTGTCCATGTGACAATATATATATATATATATTAGGGGTGTCCCGATACCAGTTTTTTCAAGACTGAGTACAAGTACGAGTACTTCAGTTTAAG